CAGACGCGCAGGCTCAGCGGCCATGGCTCACGGGCCCAGCCGCTCCGCGGCATGTGGGATCCTCCCGGACCGGGGCACGAACCCGCGTCCCCTGCATCGGCAGGCAGACTCCCAACCACTGCGCCACCAGGGAAGCCCTGTATCACTCCCATTTTAATGGTAAGAAGACCTAAGGTCCGAGGGTGGAGGTTTGTCCAACAATAAATAACATTGTTATTCCCTGACACCCTGTTGTTCCTAATCTTTATAGTTTATTAACATCCATTCCCACTGGAAGCTAATTCTTGACTGTAATTGATTTATGCAGTGCATTCTTTAGTATTCTAGTTGATGAAGCTAGCCAATGCCTTTTTGCCTTCATTTGGGAAGAAAAACTAATCACCTGGACAATAATGCATCAGGGTTTTCTGAGAATGCTTATTTGTCACAAATCCTAAAGGCTGGTCTGGGTGATATAAAGTTCCCTAGATTTTCAACTTTGTTGCAATGTGTAAATAATTTGCTTCTTTGGTCTCCTTCTCAAGCCTCCTCACAGGAAGACAACATCCACTTGCTAAAGCTTTTAGCCTTAAAGGGACATAAGGCTGACAAAGAAAAACTGGAGTTTGCCCAAACCCAGGTTCAGTATTTAGGGCATTTGATACCAGAACAAGGGCTACACCTAGATCACAATAGACTTCATGGCATCCTAAGCTTCACCAAACCCAAAACTAAGCACAAACTGTGAGGTTTTCTCCAGTTTGTAGGTTATTGCCCAAATTGGATTCAAATTTCTCTCTTATGACCAAGCCTCTATATGTTTTACTCAACAATAACAACCCAGGACCCAGTTTTATGGGAAAAGTGAGACCACATAGACTTCAAGGCCTTAAAGATGAGTCTGATAAATCCAACTGCCCTTGGCCATCCCAATGATCAGATTCCCTTTTTTCTTTTTACATATGAAAAGGAAGGGAATGCCCTTAGGGTGCTCATTCAAAAACCTGGGGACCACCATTGAC